CCTTCCTCCCTCCTCTCCTCCTCCATCCACTTCCTCCCTCTCACTTCTCTCCCACTCTACCTCCCTCCCCCTTCCTCCCTCTCTCCTTCCTCCCTCCCCCTCTCCTTCTCCGACCACCCCTTCCTCCTGCCCACCTTCCCTCTCACCTACCCACCTACTCATCTACTCTCCCTTCCTTCCCCTCTCTCCTCCCCCCCCCACCCACATCACTTGTGTTCTTACTATTTTCAGCTCCTTTCTTTCTTTCTCTCATTCTTCAATCCCGCTACTATTTTTTTTTTCTCTCCTTCTTCAACCCCGCTACTATTTTTTTTTCTCTCCTTCTTCAACCCCGCTACTATTTTTTTTTTCTCTCCTTCTTCAACCCCGCTACTATTTTTTTTTTCTCTTCTTCTTCAACCCCGCTACTATTTTTTTTTTCTCCTTCTTCAACCCCGCTACTATTTTTTTTTTCTCTCCTTCTTCAACCCCGCTACTATTTTTTTTTTTCTCTCCTTCTACAACCCGGCTACTATTTTTTTTCTCTCCTTCTTCAACCCCGCTACTATTTTTTTCTCTCCTTCTTCAACCCCGCTACTATTTTTTTTCTCTCCTTCTTCAACCCCGCTACTATTTTTTTTTTCTCTCCTTCTTCAACCCCGCTACTATTTTTTTTCTCTCCTTCTTCAACCCCGCTACTATTTTTTTCTCTCCTTCTTCAACCCCGCTACTATTTTTTTTTCTTTTTTTTTCTTTTTTTTATACTTCCTTTCCTCAGACCGACGTCAAATAAGGAGTGCCCGCGAATCGAGACCCCTTTAACACATCACTCTGTAACCTCTCTGTATCGTTCTCTGTCTCGCCCCCTTCTCCCTCTTTCTTTCATTCCATTTTCGTTCATTTCACCTAACCACAACTCCCGACATCACAGGCGGTTCCATCCCAAACAATTGCGACTTTATCTCCGTGCACTGGGGTGTTATTTTCCCCGACTCGCTCTCTCTTCTCCGTTTTCCTCTGGTAACGTTTTCTTTCTTACCTTGAGCATGGACTTCCAGGGTATACTATGTTATATGATTACTCTCGCTCTCGATCTCTATCTCTCTGTCTCTGCCTCCCTCCCTCCTCGCCTGCCTCCTCCCCCCCGCCTGCCTCCCTTCTTCCCTCCCTCCCCCTCTCCTTCCCATGCCAATGCCCACCCTTTCTCCTTTTCTCCCTGCCATCCTTCCTTCTCTATCCTCCATCCCCTTCCTCCCTCCTCTCCTCCTCCATCCACTTCCTCCCTCTCACTTCTCTCCCACTCTACCTCCCTCCCCCTTCCTCCCTCTCTCCTTCCTCCCTCCCCCTCTCCTTCTCCGACCACCCCTTCCTCCTGCCCACCTTCCCTCTCACCTACCCACCTACTCATCTACTCTCCCTTCCTTCCCCTCTCTCTCCCCCCCCCACCCACATCACTTGTGTTCTTACTATTTTTTGCTCCTTTCGTTCTTTCTCTCATTCTTCAACCCCGCTAACTATTTTTTTTTTTCCTCTCCTTCTTCAACCCCGCTACTATTTTTTTTTCTCTCCTTCTTCAACCCCGCTACTATTTTTTTTTTCTCTCCTTCTTCAACCCCGCTACTATTTTTTTTTCTCTTCTTCTTCAACCCCGCTACTATTTTTTTTTTCTCCTTCTTCAACCCCGCTACTATTTTTTTTTCTCTCCTTCTTCAACCCCGCTACTATTTTTTTTTTTCTCTCCTTCTACAACCCGGCTACTATTTTTTTTTCTCTCCTTCTTCAACCCCGCTACTATTTTTTTTCTCTCCTTCTTCAACCCCGCTACTATTTTTTTTCTCTCCTTCTTCAACCCCGCTACTATTTTTTTTTTCTCTCCTTCTTCAACCCCGCTACTATTTTTTTTCTCTCCTTCTTCAACCCCGCTACTATTTTTTTTCTCTCCTTCTTCAACCCCGCTACTATTTTTTTTTCTTTTTTTTTCTTTTTTTTTTTACTTCCTTTCCTCAGAACCCAAGTCAAATAAGGAGTGCCGCGAATCGAGACCCCTTTAACACATCACTCTGTAACCTCTCTGTATCGTTCTCTGTCTCGCCCCCTTCTCCCTCTTTCTTTCATTCCATTTTCGTTCATTTCACCTAACCACAACTCCCGACATCACAGGCGGTTCCATCCCAAACAATTGCGACTTTATCTCCGTGCACTGGGTGTTATTTTCCCCGACTCGCTCTCTCTTCTCCGTTTTCTCTGGTAACGTTTTCTTTCTTACCTTGAGCATGGACTTCCAGGGTATACTATGTTATATGATTACTCTCGCTCTCGATCTCTATCTCTCTGTCTCTGCCTCCCTCCCTCTCTCCCTCTCCCTCTCCCACCCATCCCCCTCTCACCTCCCTCTCCCTATCATATATATAT